CCGCGTTCTCCTCCTCTTTCAGCCATGATTTAGGGTTCAAAGGTTATGCGGCACGAGAGAACGGGAGAGAAAATGGAAGTTTGGGATAGTATGAGGAAGAAGAAACCCTAAAGAAGGAATTTATATGGGTTTCTAGGTTTCATGGATTCAGCTTTTGGTGCTGCTTGGATATAGGAGTAGCATGACCCGCCTTTGGCCCAATTCTGTTTGGGCCCGTCTCAAGAATCTGATCCTGTCCGGCCCATGTTCCGGCCCAATTGAAGCCCATGATTCAATTCTATCCTATGGGATTTTTATTGGAGTCCCAATATTGCAATTAGGTTTAATTATGAATTTGATCCCTATGATTTGGACGTGATTTCAATACGATCTATATGATTTTTGTTTTAGTTTCGATTTAGTATCTGTTTCAATTTGGTCCCGAGTTAAACCTTGTAAATTGTATCTTAACATTATATTTGGAAAATACTTTGTTTCTTATCAATGAGGACAAACTTCACCATCACCCCCATTAAATATTTGACAACTTAGAGTGGGAAATAAAAAAATAAAAGTTTGTTTTTTAAATAATAAGTTGTCAATTTTTTAACGGTTGTGAGGATAAGATTTGGTCTTTATTGGTACAAAGTCAAGTATTTTTTATATTTTATTAGCTTGAAAAATGTACCTATTTGCTTAGCCAAAATCCTAATATAGTTTAGCCAAATAAAAAACATTGAAATTTAGTATTTAAACTTTTACGTAATTTTATTAAAATGCATCAACCAAGCATAATTCAGTAGCTAATATTCTTTACCTTTTATGAGAGGTTTAAATACAAATTTTTACCATGTATTTTATGATATGATATTCTTTAAAAATTAATCTCATAAATTTTCTAAGGGAGAGACAAAATTCGAACACACACGTGTACATCAATATATTAATATAAATACTAAAGTCACGTTTTTACTCATTTTTAAAAAAGCAAAATAAAGATAAGAACCAAACTTGTTATTCTTTAAGAAAGTTCAAGACCTAAAACATACATCTTGAAAGTTTAGAAAACAAAAATAGAATAAAAATTCGAAAGTTAAAAAAAGAAGAAGAAGAATTATAGTATGAGTAGCCCCGACTTTCTAATATAGGGTTGGGCCGGTTGGCTTAAAAATTTGGAAAACACTTGACTTCTTATAAGCGATGACCAAATATATCTTCCTCCTATTTGTTGTTCACTTCGTTCTTTTAGCTATGGTGGGTAGATCAAGATTGATCCTCGCTCATAAGGAGCCAAAATATTTTCTTAAAAATTTTAGTGAAATATATTCACTTTTCTATTAAATGCAATAGAAATAGACCAATAAAAATACTATCATCATCGGTGCCTAGATGAATATTATTATATTGTTCATTAGAAAACCGTAAAAGTTCAAAAATGAGATTTCAACACCAAAAAAAAAAGTAGAAAAGTTACCAAAAGGTGGAAGGACATGATTAAGCTAAGCTTTTTTCCTCAAGCATACCACTTTGCAACCTCTCTTATAGGAAGAACTCACTGTGAAAGCTCAAGAGAGAAGAGAAGACTCTGATTTTGAGCAGCAGCAAATCAAATCAAGCTCCACGGTCAAATGCAGCCGCTGCCCGAACCGCCACTCGTCGGTCCATCAAGACGCTGGCGGTGGTGCTGGCGGTGATCGCTTTTTTGGGCGTCGTTGCTGGAATCTTTGCTCGTCTCTGCGGGGGAAAGCATTCCCGCAGCGACGGCGAAAACGACATTGAAGGTTGGGTTGAACAGAGGTGCAAGAGCTGCATGGACGGCGGCCACCGGAGGAAGAGAAGAAGTGAGTTGATTGATTCATCGTAGGCTCTAGCAAAAATATATTGTTGAGTCCTTTTTTGCTTTTTTGTTTTTGCTGATCTTTCCGTGGGAATATTGATGTATTTTCAAATTGTGACATTTTTGTTAGTAGAACAAATATGAGTACCAAAATTTTAACTTGAAAAAAAGAGTAGATGTCACTTGTTATTGAGTTTTTTTCTTAAGTGGAGCGAGGAAATTTGAATTCATAACTTCTTCGTCGTTGGAGATATGTGGTTGAGTTAAGCTCGGCAATTGTTGAGTTATGTTCATAGATAACATTTAACATCTAAATTAGCTATATATTATAATAAAAGTAATATATTCACATAGCCAACTTGAACATAACTCATCAACACTATTAGAATTCACTTTTTTTTCGACGGAAAAAATCATTTGCAAAAGTCTAAATAGCATCGGAAAAAGCTCGATATTTTTCTCATCAAAATTTGTCGAGAGAGGACCATCGAGAGAACCTCATGCAGACGAAAATGATTAACGTTGGGAGTGTTACTAACACTTTATATTTTCGCCGAGAAACATGACTTTTCCAAAATAAAACGTCGTAAAAATTCCATCGAGATTTTTAAAATTTTTTGTATCTCGAGTTCGAATCTTCGCCTTCACATATTATTGTAGTAAAAGATAAAATGACACTTATTCACGCAAGTATATGATATTTTTCATTTTAGATTTTATATATATTGTTTATTTTAATTACGTATGTCATTAATTAAGTTTTATAAAAATGAGTTAGAAAACCAATTGTAAAAGCTAAAATGGTGTTTTTCTTGAAAGTTTAGACTTTAGAAACTAAAATAAAAAGAAACAAAATATTTGAAAAATGAAAAATTTGGAATAAAATAAATATGGAAGTTTTAGTGCCTTTGATATAGTTTCAAATCCCTTTCTACAAATAATATTGTCACAAAAAAAAACCAATAATATATAGGATAGTATTAAATTTTCATCAACATATCTAACATTTACATATTTTTATATATTTATAGATTTGACATCAACACGAGAAATAAATTGACATTTCCATAATATCACAAAAAAATTTAACAAAATATAAAAAAATATTAACAAACTATCACTAATATAGATATAATATTAATATTAATAAATTTTTTAATTTATTTAAAAGGAATGAAATGCTTATTTGTTATAAATTTTTTTATTTTTATAATTTTCCACAAATATGCGGTTTGATATTTTATCAACACTTAAATAAAATTGAAACCTCGACATTTCATCACGATTTGAAACCTTACTATATAAAACTTTAACTCTCTTTTTATCTCTCACATGTTTGACATAAAATTGTGCACGTTAGAATTTCTTCATATTTTCCTAAATCAAAAGTTTGATATAGATATTCGCATCTTTACAGACATGTCTATTTCAACATATTTCTTTCCGAAAATGTGCCCCCAAACATAATTCCATTTTTTAGTTATGGTAGAAATGCAAACGACACTAATTGTTTTTTTATATTTATGGCTTTAATGATAAGAATGTAACCTACGAGTTATTAATTTAGTTATTTGAGGAACTAAAATAAAACTTTTGAAATTTACACTAAATTAGAAACTCGAGTAAATTTTAGAGACCAAAACTATATTTTCATAAAATAAAGGTTTTAAATATAATTTTGGTTTTGTATTTTTAGTGTTTATTCATTTTGGTTTCTATACTTTCAAAACATCCTTATTTTTAAAGAGTAACTATTTTGGTCATTTTTATCTAATTTCTTTATTCATAATTTTAGCATGACACTTAATTCACTAAATTTTTTGAAATGTGGCCATAAATTTGAATTAAAATAATTTCATTATGTAAAAAATTTATAGATAGAGACCAAATTGATTTAATAGTAAAAGAACAAAAATAGACATTTTAAAAATACAAAGATTAAAATACTCCACCAAACAATTACCCCTTGCATATGTACAGGTATGAGGACAGTGCGATACCCTCAGGTATTGGGGCATAAAGGTCAAAGGGGGTCACCGACTCCTGGATAATAAAAAAAATACAAATATTAAAATGAACAAAAATTAAATTATAGTGACCAAAATGAACGTTCTAAAAATTTAGAGAGTAAACTAAAGCAAAAAGTCCGCACGCAAAAGGAATGTGGTTCTGGTTGAGGCTTTCTTTCCTTTATTAGTAAAGGGGGCGCGGGACGTTCGTGGAGTCAGAGACAAAAATAATATTTAAACCTATAATAAAATGTTCTTAAACTAGTTAATTTACACTCAATTATTTTGATTGTGTCAATACTGATTAATATCCTTGATTAATTCAAATAGAAAATCCTAAAATTACTTCTTATCTTTTGACCTCAGGAACTTATTCATTAGGTTTTCAAAATAGAAAGGCTAAAATTCTTTTTAAAAAAAACACATACACGGATCAAAACGTCACCGAACATGCACTAACTTAAACATAGCTCAACTAATCAAGATATATATTTTCGAACAAATTTCACCCTCACATATGGTAAAAAAAACATCATCTAAGCAAAAGTCTAGGACTTACAAACTACGAAATTATCAATGATCAAGTTTAAATTTTAGAATCTAAAAATAGAAAAATAAACAAAATATTATTATCTTGCAAAAGGCATCTAAGTTTGGCAAATAGAATATCAAATTCATATATCATATTACTCGTCCAAATCAAAAAACGAAATGGTCAATATGAATATAGTTCAACAGTAAAAATATGCAGCTCACGTAACGTGGTAAAGATATATTACTCGTTTTCTTGAGGTC